AGCTTCTAAATTGAGAATTACTCTCCCGAATCAATCCCGAACTTCCCAAAAATCCAAACTAACCATGCACGCAAGTCGTAATACATCATATGAAGTTACTAAGACCTCAAACCGCCGAGCGAAATGCCAATGCTCAAAACGACCGATTGGGTTGTTACATTCCCCCCCCCCCCCCCCACTTAAATGTACGTTCATCCTCAAACGTGCCAAGAGTAGTTCCAGAGCCATCAAGTCACTGTATGAACTCACCATACATATATCCATGGGCGATCCCATATCAGCTCGGGCCATACAAGCCCGCTAACACAACCCAATTGAAGATTCTTTCTTCAATCTTAGTCCATAAACTTTAGAGCCCAATCTCCAATATCTGGAATTTTTTATAAGACCCGATTCTCCAAATCTATACATTGTATAAGTCTAAACAAGCTGCATTAAGCCATAACCATATTCCAAGATATAATCATATGATACGTCACATAACTCATGTACTCATAGTAATAATTTCTGACCATATTATCTACTCATTATTAAACCCGGTACTGGTGACACACCTCAAAACAAAAAAAAACTTGATCTAATCCTTCATACAATGCCAATGATGAAAGAAACACGTAGAAGCCCATAATCACTCATCAGATCAACAAGTCATGGACCTATCTCACCAAATAAGAGCCATTTCAAAATTCTAAGGCGGCTACTGACATTATTCTTCCAAACATACCGTAGCCAAATCTAATGGCACAAATGCCATGTCAAACAACCTCATTTCACTCAGTACAAGCTGCTCGGCTGACACGCCCTACCAATGTCACCTAGAGCTACATATGATGCAATTTGTCCACCCTCGTGGAACAACTCAAATATAACTAATGATGGAAGGAGAACCAAATAATAGAACTACCCCCCACAAGTTCAATAATTACAACCACAAAGCATAATGCAATGAACCCATCTCATAAGGGAGAAGCACAACACACAAAGAAATCACTAAGATCATATCCCAACATAACTCCACTACGGTGCGCAATCCAATCCAAACATACTGATCTATATGAAATACTCATCGAGCCATAATGCTCACAATCAACCACCACATGTGTACCAAAAGCAGACACGTGAAATGCATTACCATAACGATAGAGAAACGGATGGCACAATATACCCTGATAGGAAAACCATAACCAAAATGCAATAAACAACTCAACACCCCAAGATCCATCTGCTAAAATCTTGCCACAAGGCCTAAATGAAATCACATCAAGCGTGTGAGAAGATCGATAGTCTCACCATCAGTTGTCTAACTCTTAGCATATCCTTACAGTCCACAACAGAGGAATAGTTTGCCTTTGAGAACATCTAGTCTCTAAACCTCAAGAATACATGAATCTGTATATCTGATCTCAACTCCACAACTCAATAAATGACACATCACTCATACATAATCATCTCACAAAACATACTCACATAAATCTTCTATGCCACGTAACAATTCTTGAACCTCAGTAGCCAATGTGTCTCATGACCGGCACACCCCTTAAGCGATACAAGGTAGTACTAACATCCTCTAAACATCCGAAATCTCCCATGCCGACTAGAACTCATAACCTTCCTTTCAAAAAATGAATCACAACCTTGCCGATGAAATCTCAACCCAACACGGCGTACCACCTCTATCATGATATCTTATGAAAAACATGAGGATCCCATCCTCAACTCTAATTCACAAGTAGGATAGACATCCCAACAACCGAAAACCTCCTACTAACTCAATCCCGTAGAACAAAATCACAACATGTAACGTATTTCCCCATGCCTATAGAGCACATCAACCACAAGTCTTGGTCAAGCCATCGCAAACTCATCGGAACCCGTTTGCACATAATCAATTCGTTAGCACGACATCCCTCTAAATTAACCAAGTCACGTAGATTGCTATAACCAAGAGTACCTCATCATGAAAATGCCTGCGCTGAAGAAACCTTTTAGGAATTTGAAAATGTTTCTTTCACTTTTCTAATATCTAAAGGTAGAATCGCTAATGATACAGAGTACCGCCAGCCTGGGCACCATCCAAGGTAAGCCCCAAGTCCTAACCATACTCAAATTCGAAAATCCTTAAATGCCACATATGAGTCCTGAACCCGTTGAAACCTTTTCGACAGTCATTCACCTTGCTCTAAATCATCCTTGATGAAAGTTTCTTCAAATTATAGCCAACTCGAAAGCATATCATGGCTAAAGAATGAATAAAATGCATGACCATACAATCCGATCATCGATAGCAGACTCCCTCACTTGGCTCGAAGCCATTTAACACATCACCAGTAACCAACGGTGCCCTTACTTCGTAGTTTCCCCGGTCTCGCACTGTTAATCAGCCGAATACTTCATAAACTCGTGTGACCCTAGTCATAAAATACTAGAAAGACTATGCCAAGTGCATAGTCACCCTGGTGACAGTGAAGCCAACTGATAGTAGCCTATATTATGCAATGAAGATGCTATTTATGCTCTAAATTAACCATACTTTATTCATGTTTTAAGTGCCAAATGATAAAAAAATGCTCTAATTGAGTTTTTTATGCTTTGCAGGAGCTACTCCGAGTTAGGAGAAGGATATAGAGTGTTTTGGGGTAAAAAAATGAAGATACAAGGCCAATCGAGAAGAGCCCGGATGAAAACGAGCAAGAAAAGGCGAAGAAAAACTGGGCGAAAGTCCACCGCGACCGCGGTCATTCTGCGGCTGGAACGCGGTGAAAGAAAGGCGAAAAAATAGAAAGTCGAAAATGACCGCGGTCGTACCGCGGTAGGCCCGCGACCGCGGTCGATCTGGAAAAGTCCAAGAAATTTAAAGGACTAAAGTGTAAAGCGTGGGAAACCTATCCTAACCCTATATAAACTCAACAAACTCGCCCAAGTCAAGGTTATGCTTGTGTTTAGACTCAATTGGAGGTAAGAACAAGTGTGAGAAGATCAAGACACCATTAGAGTTTTTCATTCTTCTTCTTGTTATCATTATTTTGTGAATTATGAATGATTTTATGGTTTTATCTTGTCTTACCATGAGTAGCTAAACACTTAATCTAGGGTTGATGGAACCAATTGTTAGATGAAGTTTTGATTCAGTTTTGTTGTAATCTAGCCGGGTTTATTATATGATTGTTCAACTATGTTTTGTATGGTGATTAATAGAATGGGCCCTCGATTAATCGTGTCTAATCACCTTGTATTGCTTGAGAAAGAATACTAGGTTAGATTGTTGTTGAACAACACCATTTTTGGGTAATTGAAGAGATTCATTACTTGAATTTAAAAGTGGGGTTAGAAATAACGAAGCTTTGGTGGGATAGTTCAGAGCTGCATAAATTGTCAGCTAGAGTAGTTCGAGAGAATGCTCTAGTAAATTATCGTAGTTGATCGAGAGATAATTGCGGTAGCCCATAGCTCATAATCCTCATAGAGTTTTACGGCGAGATTATAGCAAAAGAGTTAAGAATTAATCTAGCAATTGGGGAAGTCAATACCCTAGATCTTTTTACCATTGAATTATCTTTAATTTGGAATATTGTTAGTTTTACTATCATTTTACTTTAGTCAAACAAATCCCAATATTTATTGATAAAAATCTTGCATCCGGGAATTGGTTGAGCTAGTACTAGCATCACTAAGAGTTGTAATAGATAGGTTAGTTCCCTGAGGATTCGACTCCGGACTTGTAAACCAGATTATATTTGCAACGACCGCTTTGTTTTTTGTAAGGCATAGTTGGGCGTGATCAAATTTTGGCGCCATTGGCGGTGAACTAATGGTGTTATTTATTACAACTTAGAAGTAGTGCTAGAATTATTAGTTTAGATCAATTTTCTACGGTGTTAAATAATTTTTCATTGAAATTCTCCCGTTTGAACTCTTGTATGATTTAGGTCTATGCCTAAAGATTCTTCGAGGACTGGTGAACTGCTTGAAGTACTCTCAGACCCCGAGAAAACATTCAGGGCATTAAGCCGTGCCAACAAGAAGAACAAACAATCACAACAAACACACCAACTCGCAATAAATGGACAACAGGGAAAACATCAATGGAGGAGTGCCAAACGAAGCAGTGGTGGCACCTCTTGTGCCAGAAGCTGCACTTTATGATTGGGCACAACCAACAACTGACAACCTGGCCACCGCCATTGCTGTGCCCCAAATACAAGCGAAGACATTCCAAATCAGTAACAACATGCTGCATCTTCTGCAGAATAGGGGATTGTTCTCCGGGTCACACATTGAAGACCCTCAACAACACCTGAAAAATTTTCTATCGATTTGTGTGACCCAAAGGCAGCCAAATGTGACCCCAAAAGCCATCAAGCTATTACTGTTCCCGTTCTCTGTGACTGGGGAAGCTCAGACTTGGCTGAATTTGCTCCTAATAAATTCCATTTCCACTTGGGAGGAATTAGTCAAGCAGTTCCTGAACAAGTTTTACCCGCCCAACAATACTGCAAGACAGATTGATGAGATATTGCAGTACAAGCAGTCTCCCACTGTGACCTTGCAGGAAACTTGGGAAAGATTCAAAGGGATGCTAGTGAAGTGTCCCCATCATGGTATTCTAGATCAGATGCTCGGCCTGAGATTCTAAATAGGGTTAGCAGACAATTTAAAAGCCTATGTAGATGCTTCAGCTGGGGGTGCATTCCTGAGCAAGATATTCACAGTGTAAAATCCTTCTTGACAACATGGCCCAGAATTCGGGGTGGATGACGAGAGGTATGACCCTGGCACCAATAGTGCATTCAGTTCCTCTTGACCCAAATAATTCACATGCAGAGAACATATCCACACTCATGACTCAGATGAGTATACTGACAAAGAAGATTGATGAGATGGGTACAAAGCAACCGCATATCGTTGACACAACAAATGGATGATTGTGTACACCTTGCATTAATCAGTCTTATGTGTATTCATGGAGTGGAAAAAGTGACAACCAAGGGTTAAGAGAGGATATGAATTATGTCAACAATTTTAGGGGTCAGAGGCAAGGAGGACAACAATGGGCACCAGCACCCAACCAGCAGTACAGACCGAACATGCCACAACCTAGAGGTATTCGGCCCCAAGGCCAAATGGTGCCATATCAGAGACAACAGAGCTATCAACAGCAGCACCAGCAACAGTTGACATATCAGCCACCTCATCAGCACCAGGACAGCAACATGGTAAAAATCAGGGGTATGCTGCAACAACTCATTGGAATATATGGTAAGATGCAGGAAAAGTTGGCAGTGCATGACTCAGCAATTAAAGGTATTAAAACTTAATTGGGGCAGTTGTCCATTGCCTTAAATAACCGCCCCCAGGGAACATTGCCAGCCGACACGAATATTAACCTCAAGGAGCAAAACCCGAATCAACTGATGGCAGTAAGTCTTCGGAATAGGAGAGACTTAGACAGGGAGCAAGAAGTTGCTCAATCCAGAAGAGAGACTACACCAGCCACTCCAGTTCCATTAGAGATAGATGAAACAGTCGAACTCACTGAAGTGGTGGTTGAACAGGCTCAGATTGATAAGGGTAAGGTTAAAGAAAGTGAACAAGTTCCAGAACACGTGGTACCTGTTGTGCCACAAATTCAACAAAGAACAACCAGCAAGCAGTGGACAAAGAGTGATGCATGCACCATTCCCTCAGAGACTGGCAAAACAAAAGAAAGAAGATCAATACAGGAAATTCATGGAGATGCTTCGTCAGATTCAATTGAATATCCCTATGATGGATGCTTTGAGGGAAATGCCAGGCTATGCAAAAATGATGAAGGACCTGATGTCACGGAAATTTGACTTTCAGGACCTGTCTACAATAACTCTAACACAGCCACGCAGCGCGGTAGTGACAAGACCCATAGCTCAAAAGATGTTTGATCCAAGTAGCTTCACTATTCCGTGCACTATTGGGAGTTATGCTTTTGCAAAAGCATTGTGTGACTTAGGAGCCAGCATAAACTTGATGCCTTTGGCAATGCATACAAAACTGGGCATTGGCAGAGCTAGACCGACTTCGATGCTGTTGCAACTGGCTGACCGCACGGTTAAAAGACCGACGGGGATTCTTGATGATGTGCTGGTACAAGTGGGAGAGTTTGTATTCCCTGCAGACTTTGTTATTCTGGACTGCCAGGTAGATGAGGAGATACCCATCATTCTGGGGAGGCCATTCTTAGCCACTGGGAGAGCATTGATTGATTGTGAAACTGGAAATTAAAAATGAGGTTGAATAATGAAGAAGTAATATTCAATGTTCAACAATCCATGAGGAGACCCAGTGAATATACAAATTGCTCACTAGTGGAAGTTGTGGATGTGATCCTGTATGAAGACGATGAGACCCTGAATGCCAAAGATCCATTGGGAGCTTGCTTGACAAATTTAGAGGAGATGGATGGTGAAGGGTTGGCAGAGTGGGTCATGGCACTCGAAGGCCAAGGATTCTGGAAGAAGGAATCTGAGTTCGAGCCCCTTAATTTAGAAGAGAGAGCTACACCACCTGCAAAACCATCAATAGAGGAACCACCACAGCTGGAGATGAAATCGCTTCCAGCCCACCTCAGGAATGCTTTCTTGGGTCCCAATTCTACTTTGCCTATTATTATATCATCTGGTTTGCTAGCTGTGCAGGTAGAACAATTACTGCAGGTGTTGCAGGAATGCAGAACTGCCATTGGTTGGACCATGGCAGATATAAAGGGTATCAGCCTGGCCTTCTGCATGCACAAGATTCGTTTGGAAGAAGGGCACAAACCTTCCAGGGAACATCAACGAAGGCTGAACCCGAATATGTAAGAGGTAGTGAAAGAGGAGGTAATCAAGTGGCTGGACGCGGGCATCAACTTTCCCATCTCTGACAGTAATTGGGTAAGCCCCGTCTAGTGTGTACCGAAAAAAGGTGGAATGACAGTTGCACAAAATGAGAATAACGAGTTGATCTCGACTCGTACAGTCACAGGGTGGCGGATTTGCATGGATTACAGGAAATTAAACGCAGCCACCCGAAAGGACCATTTCCCCCTGCCCTTCATTGACCAGATGTTGGACAGGTTAGCCGGGCGATCCCATTTTTGTTTCTTGGATGGATACTCAGGGTACAATCAGATCTCAATAGCCCTAGAAGATAGAGAGAAAACGTCCTTCACATGTCCGTATGGCATCTTTGCCTTTCGAAGGATGCCCTTTGGACTTATGGAGGTGTTTATGGAACGCTATGAAAGAAAGGCGAAGAAACAAAAAGTCGAAAACGATCGCGGTCATACCACGATTGGCCTGTGACTGCGGTCAATCTGGAAAAGGCCAAGAAAATTTAAGGACTAAAGTGTAAAGCGTGGGAAACTTATCCTAACCCTATATAAACTCAACAAACTCGCCCAAGTCAAGGTTAAGCATGTTTTTAGACTCAATTGGAGGCAAGAACAAGTGTGAGAAGATCAAGACACCATTCGAGTTTTTCATTCTTCTTCTTGTTATCATTATTTTGTGAATTATGAATGATTTTATGGTTTTATCTTGTTTTACCATGAGTAGTTAAATACTTAATCTAGGGTTGATGGAACCAATTGTTAGATGAAGTTTTGACTCAATTTTGTTATAATCGAGCTGGATTTATTATATGATTGTTCAACTATATTTTATATGGTGATTAATTGAATGGGCCCTTGATTAATCGTGTCTAATCGCCTTGTGTTTCTTGAGAAGGAATACTAGGTTAGATTGTTGTTGAACAACACCACTTTTGGGTAATTGAAGAGATTCATTACTTGAATTTAAAAGTGGGGGTTAGAAATAACGAATCTTTAGTGGGATAGTTCAGAGCTGCATAAATTGTCAGCTAGAGTAGTTCGAGAGAATGCTCTAGTAAATTATCGTAGTTGATCGAGAGATAATTGCGGTAGCCCATAGCTCATAATCCTCATAGAGTATTACGGCGAGATTACAACAAAAGAGTTAAGAATTAATCTAGCAATTGGGGGAGTCAATACCCTAGATCTTTTTACCATTGAGTTATCTTTAATTTGGAATATTGTTAGTTTTACTATCATTTTACTTTAGTTAAACAAATCCCACTATTTATTGATAAAAATCTTGCATCCGGGAATTGGTTGAGATGGTACTAGCATCACTAAGGGTTGTAATAGATAGGTTAGTTCCCTGAGGATTCGACTCCGGACTTGTAAACCGGATTATATTTGCAACTACCGCTTTGTCTTTTGTAAGACATAGTTGGGCGTGATCACCAACTTCCTCAAGCCCTCCGAAATGGTAGCATATGTATTCCACTTAATAGAAGCCTCATACGAATCACATAACCCTGAATCCTCGTGGAGGAGATAACCAACCTACTAGCCTTGAATTGACACCTTCCCACGACCCCATCACGATCATAACAAATAGGCAACCAATTAATTCTTCCAAGTCTGCACTCACCAACCTGATACAAGAATCTGATGCATCCCACAAAGGAACAACTGAAAAACCTACCACCATATCCACTTCCAATAGTAGAAACCACATCGCAACAATAATCAAGCATCCATACCCTTTTGGTAGTCCATCTGTAGCATTAAGATTCATCGGTGCATATCTGATACCGAGTGTGAAACATCATATATGAGTGAATAGGAAGAATCGAGGATACATGCTTCAAGCCAAAATAAAGTCGCATGATACTGGAAGAAAGATAAGAAGTTTTCTAGATTTCATGTAGCCTCTCGAAGATAGGTTTGGACGTCATCATACTAATCCGCAAGACTCTACTAGATACTTGCTCATGACTCGTAGAACCTATGAACCTAGAGCTCTGGTACCAAATTGTCACGATGCAAAATCCCACCAATTTCCTGATAGCACCGAATCCAACCCGCTATGGTAAGCCAAATAGTACAATTTACTACTACAATGAGAGAAATCATCAATGATATAACTAAGAATGTAAAAGAATTTAATATATCTATCCCAAGGAAGGGTAGTACAAGTCATTAGCCACTATGATGTAGATTTAAAAACTAGGTGAAATGACTTAAATACAACATCTGTTTGAAAATTACATAAACAGAAATAAAATCCTAGGCTACCAGTTACAACAAGTAGCATGAGTTCGGCACGTGGGTACGCCTCCAAAGCAAAGCTCCCTCTTAACAGCTACTCAACTCCAGAATTTGCACGCAAGGTGCAGAAGTGTAGTATGAGTACAACCGACCATATGTACTCAGTAAGTATCTTGACTAACCTCAGAGAAGTAATGAGAAGGTTTTTAAGTTAAAAGATACTCACTTGTCAAATAACCTGTGCAATATATATAAAACTAGCAACAAGACGTATAACAGAAATACAATAACTAAAATCTCAATAGAACAAGTGATGATAATTCAATACAATTAAAGGCTTAACTTCAATAACAAGTCATCAAATAGAATTGCACACATATGACACCTCGTGCCCACGCCGTCATTTACCTTCAGCACGGCAAAGACCTCATGCCACAACACATATCATACTCGCACGACAAAGACCTTGTTCCACATTGTAATCAGATTATGTATTAATTTTCAAATTACACATTCAATGGAACTTTTCAAGAATAAATTATAGTAATACATGATGACTATTTCCTTATCTCGTCAATCCAATATGCTAGCAACAACTCATAGAATATGAGATAACAACTCCATGTCAGTAGAATCCATCTTGGCAAACAAGTCATCAAGTAGTAACGAAGGTATAGATTAGCATGTTGGAAGAAATGGAATAAATCATGTAACAATGCATGACACACAGATAAATCATAAGCACAACAAGAATGTCCCCCTTGTACCACCACACCCGTATAATCACATAACATCGCCACAATTCCACCCTTATTTCGCCGTGTGAGCATCACAATGATTTTTCACCTTATATTGCTACATGCACATAAGCCACGCTTATCTTGCTACATGCACATCACGAACGAAATTTCTCCCTTACGTCATCGCATGCGCATGTAAAATCAACCCGCACAACATGTCCACATGTGCCACAATTACACAACATGCAAAATGACAAATTATCATCAAGAGGCACATTCTCATAACTCATCAGAAAGCACACAACGACATGATATCAACGAAAGTGCAGATAAAACATAATCAAGGCTAATTCAAGTATAGAAACCAAGTCAAAGTAGTCATTCAAAGGATCACATATGCATCACTGAATGTACACGTCCCAACCAAGGCACATTGCAAGATCAAGTCCGGATGTGTATTCATAGCCTACGTGTGTCTATCCCCAAGGCAAATATAGCATAAGTCTCAAGATTTGTTCATCACGTTCAACATAAGGTACCAATAGCCTCAACATTCCTCTAGCACGGTTTATAGTACTCCTGAAGTTAATTAATTTAATAACACATTGAATCAAGTAAAACACACAACAAATGAGGCATACAGTAAGATAGAACCTACTCCGAGCATAAATATCCATGGCACATGTATATACGTTTGTGACATTATATATACATCACCCCCACATGTGGAAAACAACATCAAATAGAACGAAAATTCCCTCAACCAAAGCTAGGCAAGACACTTACTCCTTCCCTTATGAATCGACCTCTGAAATGGCTTGAATCTAGCCTAAAATAACTCAATACCATCAAATAATGCCATAGGAATCAAACCCAAACGATAAATGTCGAAAGTCAACCAAAAGGACAACCTGGGACCGTTCCCCAGAATCCGATAAAGGTCTCAAATCTCTATCACCCATTCGAATACGAGTCTAAATATACAAGTTTCATCCAATGTTAACTTCAAATCGACCTCTAAATTCATAGATTTTATCCTCTTAAGTTTTAGAGATAGAACCCCCAAATCTCTAATCAAAACATGGATTAATTCTAAAATTAATTAGCATAATAACAAAAAAAATACAAAATTGAGGTTAGATATGACCCAGTTCCAAAACTAAAAGAACACCGTGAAAATCACCTCAAACGAAGCTCTAGAACTCAAGATATGCTCAAAATACTAAATAAACGCAGTCTGATTTTTAATACACAGAAATTTCCGCTTCCGCACCCAAAAACTTGCACCTGCAGTCTACCAACAGTCATTTATGCACCCGCAGACCATTTTTCACACCTATGGGATCGCAGGTGCGGTTCCCACTTCGCATCTGCGAAACACTAGCACCAGTTATCCTCCCCGACACTAAAATGGGCATAACTTCCTC